AGCTAACAGATATCTGCCAATCTGCCACTTGATCTTTTTAGCTTTTACGATAACCCACTAAGTGTTCCAGTTGTTTATATTTGGCCTAGCTGTTTATGAGGGGGTCTCATAAAGCTCTAGTGAAAAGTCAACCAAGAATAAGTGCAGATTACCACTCAATTGACACTTGACAGATCTAGTTAAACACAAGAGGGCCCGGCCATGATAACCACCTGATTGGCCTTCAGCTGAACTTGGGGCAATAAACTTATGAGTACTCCTTGGGTTTCCTTCCTTGTTACTAAATATATATAGAGAGCAGCCTCTCTTAAAAAGAAATCTGTACATGCTAAAAATGAGCAGGTTTGGAGATCCAGAAGCCTAAAGACACAAACAAACTCTCCTGGGACAGTCCAAACCCACAAAGTGGTCAAGTTTGGTGTCTATCAGAAGTTAATGTCATAACAGTCATGATAGTTATGGAATTAACAGTTTGGGAGGGGTTGTAATATACTCACCTGTCCGTTGTCTCATAATCGGTCCAGAGCTCCGTCTCCCCGCCAATGACATCACGTGGCTCCTCCTCCCTATGCTACTTAAGCCACGAAATTCAATTGCACGGCGTTCGTGCAAATAAATGAACGCCGACAATTGACTGCTAGAGCCGAACCTCTCCCAACAGCAGCTCCCAACTGCTCTCCACCCTGAAAACTACCTCCTTTACTTGAATCTGTGAAGCTGCCTTGCAGTACTGTGTTTCCGCACCAGAGAGACACTCATTAAGCTGAAGAAGCTGCTACCTCACCTGGCTATTAACCCTTGATTCGCTCTGTCTCTAACAAGATACACTGACTACGCTGCTACCTCACCTGGCTGTTAACCCTTGCTTCCCTCAACTCTAGCAAGTACGCTGATCAAGCTCATCACGCCTGGCTGTTAACCCTATTCACACCGTAGCAAATTATTCTGACTTGCAGGAGTCTCTTCAATCTTGTCTACTTCCTACTTACAAAATTGCTCACTGACTACGGCTGTGTCCAAAAGGCTCCCAAGAACTTCCCGCACGACTACTAAACTGCAAGTATTTATTAGTTTGACCATTGACTATTGCTGTTTCATGAGAATCTTGAGAAGTGAAGTAACTTCCTCAAGACTTCTATAATCTTGATATAGCCTGTAGCCTATCTCCTCAACGCATGTCTCTAACCATTTCAGTTATATGTACATTCCACTTATCTTCTTGTATGAGAAAATAGTGTTACATAACAATACACTGTTAATACATAATCAAGATGGTTCATTGATCCGTAGCTGAGATCCAATTCATTACAAATACTTGCCTGTGCGTTGTAGGGGCGGAGCATTTGCTGAGAAAGGTTCATGTTTCAGTCAAAACGGATGGCAGCAGTGAACGTTTGGTGTGTAAAGGGTTAACTGCGGAGTTAACCAACCCTAGTGGTGATCACTCTCAGTCTGCTGGCCTGAGACTGTTGTCCCACGAGCTGGGAAATCTCTGTGCAGGGTGAGGCTAGGAGTGGTATCACCACGTTCACAGTGATGGCTCCGTCGGTTCAGAACTGCGTATAGTTACATAGTAATGCCGTGCAGTGTGTTCTGACTGGCTCAGCCGTCGCAAGGTTCCCTCAAATTCCATACCAGGCCCTTTGGGTTTGGTATAGTTTAAGGGGATCCCCATGCAAAAAAAGCCAATGTGGGTTTCCCCCAAAATTTATACCAGGCACAGCATCCTGGCTGCCCCTTTCCTCAAAGCCAAGGTGTGCAAGCTTGGGGTAGAAACACATGGCTGAAAAGGCTTGTGAAGCACTATAGGAGAAGAAATATATATATATATTGTATATACAGACACATACAGCGATCAGCCGTAACATTATGACCACCCACCTAATATTGAGTAAGTCCCCATTTTGCCTCCAAGTCAGCCCTGATCCATCAAGACATGGACTCCACTAGACCTCTGAAGGTGTGCTGTGGAATCTGGCACCAAGCCGTCAGTAGCATATCCTTTAAGTCCTGTTAGTTGTGAGGTGATCGGCCCCCATGGATCAGACTTGTTCTTCCAGCACATCCCACAGATGATCGATTGGATTGAGATCTGGAGAATTTGGAGGCCAAGTGAACACCTCATACTTGTTGTGTTCCTCAAACCATTCTTGGACCATTGTTGCAATGTGTCAGGGCGCATCATCCTGCTGAAAGAGGCCACTGCCATCAGGGAATAACGTTTCCATGAAGGGTTGTACTTGGTCAGCAACAATGTTTAGGTCGGTGATCTGTGTCAGAGTGACATCCACATGAATGGCAGGACACAAAGTTTCCCAGCACAACATTGCCCAAAGCATCGCACTGCCTCCGTCGGCTTGTCTTCTTCCCATGGTGCATCCTGGTGCCGTCTCTTCCCCAGGTAAGTGACACACGCACCCGGCCATCCACATGATGCCATCAGACCAGGCCACCTTCTTCTATAGCTTGGTGGTCCAGTTATGATGCTCACATACCCATTGTAGGTGCTTTTTAGTGGTGGACACGGGTCAGCATGGGCACCCTGACCGGTCTATTTCTACGCAGCCCCATACACAACAACCTGCGAAGCTCTGTGTGATCAGACACGCTTCTATCAGAACCAGCATTCACTTTATCAGCAATCTGAGCTACAGTAGCTCTTCTATTGGATCGGACTACACAGGTCAGACTTTACTTCCCACGTCCATCAATGAGAATTGGCCATCCATGACCCTGTCACCGGTTCACCAGTTTTCCTTCCTTGGACCACTTTTGGTAGGTCCTGACCACTGCAGACTGGGAACATCCCACAACTCCTGCAGTTTTGGAGTTGCTCTGACCCAGTTGTCTAGCCGTCACAACTTGGTCATTGTCAAAGTCGCTCAAATCCATATGCTTGACAATTTTTTTCTGCCTCATTATATGGTCTACATTAGGGGTAGGTAACCTCTGCACTCCAGCTGTAGTGAAACTACAAACTCCATCATTCCTCAGCCTGGGAGTCATGTCTATAGCTGTCAGAGTCTTGCAATGCCTCATGGATGGGATATATAGTTTCACTACAGCTGGGGTGCTGAGGTTACCTACCTCTGATGTAGACCATATGATGATACACTATTTAAAGGTGTAGTGAAACTACATATCCCATGAGGCATTGCAAGACTCTGACAGCTACAGGCATGACTCCCAGGCAGAGGCATGATGGAGTTTGTAGTTGCAGCTAGAGTGCCAAGGTTGCCTACCCCTGGTCTATATTATTATAACACAGGATTTATATAACACCAACAGTTTGCACAGGACTTTCCATTAAAAAGAAAGACAATAGAGTTACAATACAAGCCAAGACTGGAATTAGAAGGGTCCTGCCCAGGAGAGCTTACAATCATACATGTGTATAGTAATAATGTATACAATGCCTGTAATGGAATACTCCCGGGGTGGGTGTTCCTGCGGGGATACAGAACATAGGGATCTGATAGGTATTGTAGTGGATACAATGTATCATTTTCTGATTCATGTACATAGTGATATATGTCATGTAACGTTGCCATGGTGTAGAGCTATGTATATTATGTGTTACATATTGTGATTGGTGGATACAATGTATCGTAACGTTGTCATGTGTACAGATACACTATATTGCCAAAAGTATTGGGACACCCCTCCAAATCCTTGGAAGGTCTCTGGAAGGGATTATAATACCAGGGGTGGTGGCATGGGGGCTCTGGCAGTAATAGGGTGTGATATGGATTGTATGAGGGTCTCTGACACAGATAGGGTATGGTGTGAATGTTATAAGGGTCCCTGGCATAGATAGCGTATTGTGTGGATTATATGAGGGTCTCTGGCAGTAATAGGATGGGGTGTGCATTGTATGAGCGTCTCTGGCAGTAATAGGATGGGGTGTGGATTGTATGAGCGTCTCTGGCAGTAATAGGATGGGGTGTGGATTGTATGAGCGTCTCTGGCAGTAATAGGATGGGGTGTGGATTGTATGAGCGTCTCTGGCAGTAATAGGATGGGGTGTGGATTGTATGAGGGTCTCTGGCAGTGCTATAACAAGATATGGATGGTATGAGGGTCTCTTCTAGTGTTATGATAAGATATGATGATATAGTATGAGGGCCTCTGGCAGAGATAAGTTACGGTGTGGATGGTATAAGGGACTCTAGGTTGGATGGTATGGGGTCTTTGGTTGGAGAGTATGAGGGTCTCTAAATTGGATGGTAAGGGGGTCTCTGGGTGGATGGTATGGGGGGTTTATGGCATGGGGTTGAATGTTATGAGGGTCTCTGGTTGGATAGTATGAGGATCTCTTGGTTGGATTGTATGGGGGGTCTCCGGCTGGATGATTTGTGGGTCTCTGGGTTTATGGCATGGGGTTGAATGTTATGAGGGTCTCTGGTTGGATAGTATGAGGATCTCTTGGTTGGATTGTATGGGGGGTCTCCGGCTGGATGATTTGTGGGTCTCTGGGTTTATGGCATGGGGTTGAATGTTATGAGGGTCTCTGGTTAGATAGTATGAGGATCTCTCTGTGTATTTCCTCTTCTGAATCTGATCTGGCTCAGCTCCAATCTCAGCCAAACATCGACCTCTCCCGCCTGTACCATGTGGCCTGACGGGGGTTCTAGGTCGGTGATCGGGCCCTCCCTGACGATCTCCGCCTCCACACACACCGCCCCCATTATGATCACACACGATCCCCCTCGGGGAGTCACCGTAGCAGTTTGCTCCCCGGACATCACAAATTTCTACCCCCTCTCCAGGAGCCGCGATGGTCTCTCCCTTTTCCAGCTGATTTCAGGTCTGCGCTCTCAGCTGGACCCGACCATTCTCGAAATAGGGGTATACGGCCTACTCCGTATTCTGGCACTCTGTCGGGGAAGGCTCAGGCGGGGAGGTGGTGGTGTATAGGGATGTTTTAATCTCAGTGAGATGCCAGCACGCAGCCGGCCCCCTCCCTCCTCGGACCGGACACTCACACAGCCGTGACGGGGCGGCGTCTCCCCCCAGGTCGCACTTGGTACGTTCCGCCTCCAGCTGGCCGGCCTGGAATCACGGCTCTGATCCTCGGCCGGGACCGAACCGCCGCCACAGCCATGGGAGACACCGGGAGCGAGCGCAGCAAGCCGCCCAGCCTCCCCCCGCGCTGCTCCTGCGGATTCTGGGGGTAAGAGAGCCGGGCTCCGGGCCCCTGACACCCTTGGGCCACCTGACACCCCATACTGACACCCTCCGGCCACCTGATACCCCCATTGACACCCTTCTGTCTCCTGCCCCCCCTCTTACTGACACCCTCTTGTCACCTTACAACCCACAGTCGTCCTCCTGTCACCTGACACCCAATACTGACACTCCCTGTCACTTGATACCCCCACTGGCACCCTTCTGTCACCTGACACCACATACTGACACCCTACTGTCATCTTACATCCTATTATCACCCTCCTTTTACCTGACACCCCATAATGACACCATGCAGTCGGCTTTCCATCACCTGGCTCCCCCAGTGACACCCTCCTGTCACCCGGCACCCCATGCCGTCACCTGACAATCTAGGCCGTCACCCCTTGCCATCACCCTCCTGTCACCTGACATCCCTCGTCGTCATACTCCTGACACCCCTTGCCGTCATGCTCCTGTCACCTGACGCCCCATGCCGTCAGCTGACGCCCCAGGCCGTCACCCTCCTGTCACCTGACGCCCCATGTCGTCACCCTCATGACACTCATGCCGTCACCTGACACCCCACCCCTGGCACCTCTTGTTACCTGATACCCTCCTGTCACCTGAGACTCTCGTTCAGTCCCTGTGCAGTCTCTCCTCTGATGGGCGAGGGAAGTCCATCCAGTCTCTGAAAAGCAGCAACATATCCTGCCCCACCTTCCAGCTCCTTCCTGTCCCCCCTTCCCCCGGGGGTGTCACTGTATTGGTGCCCCCAGTTCTGTCAGTGATGGGTCTGTGTCACCCTCTATAAGTATTGTGTAACTGATTGCACTCGATAACCAACACATTACCACTAACGTCTGTATATGGACCATGTCTGTTCTCACCAACACATCCATAATGCCATCGCCCACACCAGGATGGTACCTTACTACACCCTGCGGTGGCCCCTGATTACATAGTGCCGAACAAATCTCAGGAGCCACAAGGCGGAGCTTCTGCAAATATCTCCATCCAATCGCTGGGCCATTTATGTGTCTAAACAAAGGCTCAGAGTTGAACTCCAACCAAAACTGGTCACGGAAAGATCGGGGGAAAGGTTGGATCCCCTGGTCAGGTGATTAGGACTGTCCATGTCCCACTTGGAAAGATTCACCCCACTTTCAGCCCTGGTGAAATCCTCCTATGGGGACATTCGTTCCAGTGACAATGGTCTAAGAGGGGCATTCCCCTATTTGTAGAGATTTCCTCTCGCTTCCTGTTTTACCTGGAACGGGAAATGAAGGGAAATCTACCCAACAGATGGCAAACAAACTTATAAGAGTTCCCCCCCCCTCTTCTGAATTCAAAACTACAAAAAATGACACATTGGTTGGATAAAGTTTAGTGAAATGTGAGCTCCGGTAGATGGTTGTCACCCAACTGCCCCAAAATGGTTTGGCGATGAAAGCTGGCGTATCACTTCCTGAATGGGTCTCATCACCTGTCCGGTGGTACTTATAAGCGTTCCCGTAGGTGGACTCCTCATCTATCATTCAGTATTGAGATCTCTGTGCCATAGGTCTGGGGTGTACCAGCCCATCTTGGGCTTTTGGGTGTTTTGGCCTCCTGTCCTATTCTCTGTATAATAGGAGAGTAAAAGCCATTTATAATGGGTGTGCTGACCGAGGAACTGATGGGCACCCCTCATAATGGACGCAGCAGGTGTGGAGACCCAGGAACCTTGCGCTGGGCAGATAAGAACCCCTCATAATGCGCACTGCAGGTGTGCAGACTTTGGAACTCGGCACAACTATAGTGGGAACCCCTCATAATTGGCACAAAAGGTGTGCATACCCAGGAACTCAGCTCAGGGATGGTGGGAACGCTTCATATTGGGCACAGCAGGTGTACAGACCCAGAAACTCAGAGCAGGGATAGTGAGAACTTATATTGGGCACAGCAGGTATGCAGACCCAGGATCTGAGCCTAGAGATGGTGAGAACTTCTCATAATGGGCACAGCAGGTGTACAGACTCGAGAACTTAGGGCAGAGATGGTGGGAACCCCTCATAATGGGCACAGTAGGTTTGCAGACCCAGGAATTTAGGGCAGATATGGTAGAACCCCTCATAATGGGGTCAGCGGTTGTGCAAAACTGGGAACTCTGAGATCTCCTTAATAGAGTCCCCAAAAAAACTGATGAAGACCTGTAAATAGTTTATCTACCGAACACTTAAACATAATTTGGGATGGGGTGATTCTGGGAAAAGATATTTGGCCCCTGTCTACATTTAGGTGTTCCTTAGGTTGGTATTTAGGACTGGAATAAGAAAAACAAAGGGCGCCTCCCTAGTGCAGAAGTCTTTACTAATCAAGAATGAACACTAAGGACGGTACTCGCAGCAATCCAACAGTGCATGGCCTGTAGTAGCAGAAATCACAACAGAAGTTTGGGGATAGACCAACAGACACAGTGTGGGGCATGCAGACAGGAAGCCTCATCCATCGTACTCCATGACTGCCCTCCGGTTAACACGTTTCAGAAGCCACGCCAACTTTAAGTACCCCAGTTCCCCAGACTGCTATGGTGCTGCCATCTCGTGGGAGTTGAAGTTCATCCCCCCCCCCTCAAGACCGATGGAGGGTTTGCGCTAGTGGTTTCTTCAATCTACGTTTGGTATTTAGCACTGTATAGTACATTATTACATTATCCATATTGGCTCTCATGGATTCTGTTTGCACTGGAATGTTACAGTTGCTCAAATTGCCCCTCCCCCATAGTATCTATACACACAGTGGGCCAAAAAATAGAAGGCCGGACCCTGTGGACGTTGCCTGACCCTTGCCCGTAGTTTTTGGAACTTCTTTGACACAGGCTTGTAACAGAAGCTCCACCTCTGCATTTGCCTCGCATGTCAACTGATTCCTTAGGATTGACCACTGGAGGAGAGTTTGGGCATCAGCAGGACTGACTGGCTTCTGGCGTTTTTGATGGTCACGATGGTAAAATTTGAAGAATGAACTGAACGCAGGGCTGCGTACCAAAATGTGCAGTTGGTCCTTGATGGATACAATACGATTGTGGTAAAAATGGCAACAGTACTGGATAGAACAGTGCACACCACTCTTGGCTGTACCGGGCGCTCCAACTGAGGACCATGCAGGTACTTTTGATAAACCTCCAAAAGTGTTTCCAGCGGCAGGAGGAATATTCTGAATTGGACAGCCAATGAATGGAAGAAATGTGGCCCATCATCTGCTCTGGTGAATTCTTTCAGCTTACTGTCATTGTGGTAGAGTTTGGTTGCAACAATACACCTGTGGGATGGATTTGAATACAGAAGAGAGAAGCAAAGATGTCTGTCTGGTTGGTTTTTACACCAGGACACTCCAAGACACTGAGGAGCCACCAGCACAACATGGCAGCGGATAAGGGCCAACGGTTGTCCACCATGGTTCTGGGCAAGGCTTACTATTTAAGTTCTTACCATCCATTGTGTCGTAGAAGATAGTTAACCAGTTGTTACAAAATGTATAGAGACCAGAATTCTTTGGATTCTAGGGACAAAAGTCAGTTATCTGGGCCCTCAAAGGAAATCTCTAGTGAGAGACCATGTAGGTGGCTTCAGTACTTCTGGGGTCACCAACCTGGAGGAATTATTCAGATCAGGAGCCCCAACTTTGTGATCGGCATACCTGAGTCAGGCCATTGGCTCGGAAAGTACGGCAGCAGAGACAGCTGGGAAGTTAGTAGTCTTAGGAGGTCAGTAATGACCTCCTGACTCCCATATCTCCTTTAGGATAAGGCAGGGCTAGACGGGTCCAAGGAGCCAGGTAGCCAATGCTTCTTAAAAAATTACAGCTGGCCCCTAACTTTTGAGGTTTTCTCTAGTTCTACTGAATGGAACCTGCTGGCTCCTGGTTTGGATGAACTCATTCATTTGACCACCCCTGACATAAAGTGATATTATGTAGGCGCAGCAGAGCTGTTCAAAATTCTGCTTCAAAACCCCTGACAATGGGGTGAGCACTAATATGCAAACAGTGACTTTGCTCCAATTCATTTTGTATGTCCCCCGTGACCCCTGAAATTCAGTGAGGACCGTTCAGAGGTATACGCATTGCTTACGAGGTGAGCCAGGACTACGTATTGATGTCCGAATTGTGCACCCACGTAGGGCCTAGGTTTGCAAGATGCTCATAAGCAGACATTTAACAATCCATAGCTATGTAATGGGACTTTGTGATCGTTGCGCTGGTGTGTGCAACATGTCCAAATGATTGGTTCACTCAAAGTCATCAGCTAGCCCATAAAGCAGGAGTGGACCAATTTATATGAAATTCAAGAGCCTGCAGGATTATTCTCAGAAGCCAGCTAAAATGACAACCGCTAGAGAAAACCTCAATCATTTTTAAGGAGCATTGGCAACCTGGCACCTGGGATTAGTCCAGCCCTGCCATGAAGTCTTAGGACCATCATTATTTGAGATAGGCATGGCTTGTCCACGTCTCAGGATTGGTGTAATATAGTTCTATAGATCTGCCAAACAGTTTTCTTTAACTCTTGGCGCTAACGGCTGCCAGCTGAACGATCCATTTGCTGTTGCATACTCAAAGTTTTCAACAGTTTATCACAGTTTTTCACACAGACTTAAGGGGCTGCTCACCCAAGGCTTTGGGGCTTCCACCACGAACATAGAAAACAAAAGGGAACAGAGCGCCCCCTCCGTGTGTAAAATCCTTTATTACAATAAATAAAACAAGGGATAAAAGTACTCACAAACGTTTTCATCAGGCTTTAACAACAAACAGGAGGCCACACTGTCTGTTAACCCAACATGGTATCGCCCCAAATATGTAACACGGTTGCCTCTGGTCACATCACCGTCCACTGGCCGCAGTCAGCCAAGATTGACGCGTTTCAGGGGCAAGCCCCCGTCATCGGAATCATGATTAGAATCCCGAATCATGATTAGAATCATGATTCTGATGAAGGGAGCTTGCCCCTGAAACGCGTCAATC